TTTTTTTTACCAACAACATGTTTTTTTTTTTTCAGTGAAAGTTTGAAAAATAATTTTTAAACTGCTTTTCAAATGTGTATCTAATCAAAATAATTAAAGAATAAACAATGATTTTTCTTCAGCATACCAACCTGTATCATGATCTACCAACATACTTTCCCATGTACCATCTGTTGATGACTTTCGTTTTTTGCCTTCAGTGGTTAACTTTTCATTGTTTGTTGTAGTCAGAAATCTTTGGAATTTTTCGTCTTCTGCTGTCGGAACGATTGATATTGCTTCGTCATATTCGTTCTCAGAGTTCAAAGACTAAACAGTTGATAAAAAATTCCTAATTTATATCTAACTGATAATAAACAAATATTTAATAAAAGCAATTTAAATGTTTTGCAAAAAATATTTTTCATTTTTGAATTTCTTGTTTATTTAAAGCCTGCGATTTTAAAAAGAGTAGAAGAAACTGTTAAAAACTAAATCAGCGGTGCCAGGCTTACCTTTGCATACGGTAGTAGCGGAGCTCTAGTTGTTGTCAAGTAGACGTTTTGATAGGGATATACTCTATTCTAAAAGTACACAACAATAAATTGTAATAAGTCTTTAACTGTAAAACAGCACATTTCTGCACTAGATCTGAATTCTAATAAATTTTATCTACAGCATTTCTTGTGAGAAAGAAATAAAGATTTTCTTGGCGCAGTAACATGAAGTCAGCTTCTGCAAGAGCATTTTAACCTGCTCATAAGTCTAGGCTATTCTCTAACTGTAAAAAAGTCTCAATTTTTAACAAATATTAAAAGAATAGAAAATCTTGGTGACATAGGGTTAAAGCACGTGATTATCTTGTCTGCTAAGTACTCATTCACCTGTTGGTCACAGCACTCTATTATACCTCCCAGTAATGTTCAGCCTTTTTTGAATTTCATTTGTTTCCTTTATATTCTACCTAATATTTGCTAAATTGTCCTAGTCTCTTCTACAACTACGAAAAAAAGATATTTTCTTTTCAAAGACTTTGAAGAAATATATTTGAAAAGATCTTTTAACTAGGTGGAAGCAAGATCTGCATACACTGAGATTCATTCAACAGTAGCAGACTGTTAGGTAAATTTTTAGTTTTTCAAGGCTGCGCTTTGGTATTATCTTTCTTCTTGCTCTGAATTACATTAAATTCATACGATGCAACTATCGTAATTAAAACCTAAAATTTTTAAAATTTCTTTTGAATTTCGAGACGAAGTACAGTTTAAACTACTGTTTTTTATTGACTTTCACTAAGACTTGTTTCAACTGTTGCCTGTCCTTACACTTTTTTCTGTTTAACACGGTGACTTTTGACCTATCATCTTTTCGTTTAATGTGTTAAAAATTGTTATT